TATTGTACTACCAACCTTACTGTATGCTTGTGAAGCATGGACCACTTATAAACGCCATCTCCAACTCCTTGAAAGATTCCATTAATGGTGTCTCCAAAAATTTTTACACAACACTTGGGAAAGGTGAACTAATGTCAGTGTACTAGATGAAGCAAAGATCAACAGTGTCAAAGTAATGATTCTTCAACATCAACTTCGTTGGACTGGTCATGTTGTTCGGATGCCTGATTATTGTCTTCCAAAGCAACTACGCTATTCCCAACTCAAGAATGGAAAGTGAAATACGGATGGACAACAAAATAGGTTTAAAGACACTCTCAAGGCAAATAAAAAAAAAATGTAACATAAGTACAGTGGTACCTCAGACGTACAGTGGTACCTCAGTACAGTGGTACTTACAGACGCTTCAGGTTACAGATGCTTCAGGTTATAGACCCCGCTAACCCAGAAATAGTACCTCAGGTTAAGAACTTTGCTTCAGGATGAGAAAAGAAATCGCATGATGGCAGCTGGAGGCCCCATTAGCTAAAGTGGTACCTCGGGTTAAGAACAGTTTCACATTAAGAACAGACCTCCAGAACGAATTAAGTTCTTAACCCGAGGTACCACTGTACTGATAACTGGGAAACACTGGCCTCTGAGTGCTCCAATTGGAGAACAGCCTTTACCAAAGGTGTTGTGGACTTTGACGAAGCCTGAACTCAGGGCAAAAAGGAGAAACGAGCCAAGAGGAAGACACGTTTGGCAAACCCTCACCTTGATCAACTCCCACCCAGAAACTTATGTCCCCACTGTGGAAGGATATGTGGATCCAGAATTGGCCTCCATAGTCACTTACGGACTCACTGTTAAGACCGTGTTCATGGAAGACACACTTACTCGGCTATGTGTGATTGCCAAAGAAGAAGAGAAGAAAGAAGTTTGCATGAGTCATGTGTGCAGAGGATTCAAGGCACACCATTTTGCATGATTCCCCCTCAGTGGGACTGGTCCTTTAGGGCAAATGGGATACCACCCCACCAACCAGCCTGCTTTCTTACTTACTTACTCTCAGCCCAAGGGTGGCAGCATTGAATGCCAGCTTCCTCCTCCTTCATCCTAGCATTTTCCTTGTAGAACTCACCAGGGAGGAGAGCGGCAACAAAAGTAGAATTAGTTGGCTCCAGCTTGTCATTGGCTTCGGCTCCACCTGCTGCCAGGGTCCCAGTCCCCCACTCTACCGGTGCCAAGAGGTACCAGCTGCCACTGCTTTCAGCACATCTCAGGAGCTGAACAGCAGACAGGCAATTGCTTTTATGGTTTGACCCATAAGAAATGGGTCGCAGAAATTTTAAAGTGTTATTTTGGGTACTTTGCAATGGTGAAGGGAAAAAAGGATGATTCATCCTGTTTCACTCAGGCTACATCAGAGCTGCTCTGTGGAAGAGAAACCCATTAGTACTTCAGCTTGAGTGGATCTCACTTAACATGCACCTAGTAAGACCAGAGCTGTCGCTTGCTGATATTGTGCCCCTGGCAAAACTGTCCAGATTACACCCCCTTGCCACGGACAAATTAGCTCTTCTTTCCGCCTCTCCTCCAATCCTCCCCCATTCAATTCACCTTCTATTAAAACCTTTTCTTATGAGGCAATAATCAATTTTTTTATTTATAGACATATTTATGGACATATTTTGTAGCCAATTTTGCCCCTCCACTTGCGCCCCCTCGCCACCCCCTAGCTACGGTCCTGAATAAAACTGGAGTGCTGCAGGCAGTATGGAAAAAACACACACACCAAAATGCAAGCTTAGGAGGAAACCCACAAAGTTTCCATAATCATTTTTAAAGCTGTGATTATGTAGTTGCAGAGGAACTCCAGGCATTAATGGGACAATAAGAGCTATCAACGCAGAACTTTCTCTTAGCTCATGATCAGCCTCCTTCTGTGCTGTGTTGCTTTGGAGGTCCACCTAGTGGATATATCAGGGGTGGCATCTTACCAAAGATGGAAGAGAAGAGTATTTATTGCATGCGAGATTGGCGGAGCAGTGGCAAATTTTTGAAGTGCAAAGCCTCATAACAACAGGAAAGTAATACTGCAACTTTGTGATAATGATATGACACAGGGATAGTCAATGTGGCACCCTTCGGATGTTGATGCACTACAACTCATCATCCTTGACTGTTGGTCATGTTAGGTGGTCTTCGTTTACTCTCACAAGCAGTGGCAAATTTTGGGCTCTCAAATTCTACACCATTGTTGTGGCACCCCCCGCAGCATGGTGCCCAGTGCCCAAACTGGTCACGCTACCCTAAAATTGCCATCACAAGCCAAGAGGGGCAAGGAGCAAGAGGACATCGGGACCACCTCATTCCTGCAAGAATCCTGTCCACACCTTCAGGTTGCACCAATTGAAAGTGGCCCCACAGCTCATGAGCAGCTGGCACTCTGAACACCTTCACTGTATCCACTGCAACTATGGCATCAAAGGCAGCATGGATGCAAGCAGGTTTATCCTAAAAAATAACTCACAAATGTGTTGTATTTATTAGAGGGGCACATTGCTCCAATTTCCAGACTGAATCTAACTAGTCCACGCACCATCCAAAACAGCTCTGCAGGGCAGTTCACTGAGGAGGCAATGATGGCAGAAAAATCCTGCCTTTATGTAGTCCTCTTAATCATAGAATCATAGAGTTGGAAGAGACCACAAGGGCCATCGAGTCCAACCTCCTGCCAAGGGGGCAGCCCTTATATAGTTCCCTTGATTGCCTGCGCTTTCATTACATGGCTTGGGATCCAAGTCTCTTAAGGACTGCCTTCCTTCCTGTACATAAATTACATCTTTGTAAACTGCTTTGAGGGTTTTTTTTACAATCAAGCGGTATACAAATTTTGTGAAAAAATAAAACAAATCTTCAAAAATAAAATAAATCTTCAAAGGCCCTTCTCTGGGTTCCCCAGTCTCCTGAAGCCAGCTAGCTGCAGACTGGAGAGAAGTAATTTTCTGTAATCATAGAATTGTAGAGGTAGAAGGGACCACGGGGGTCATCTAGTCCAACTCCCTGCAATGAGGGAATCTTTCACCCAACATGCAGCTCGAACCCAGAACCCTGAGATTAAAAGTATCATGCTCTACTGACTGAATGGCATCCTGCCTTTGGAATGCTCTTCCCAGGGAGGCCCACTTGGTGCCATACTTCCTTTTTGAAACTTTTGATACCATCTGGATTGGGGGCAGAGTCCTGCCTCTGTTGAGCCTTTGGGTGTTGTCAATTGTAATACAATACAGTGGTGCCTCGCAAGACGAAATTAATCCGTTCCGCAAGAGTCTTCGTCTAGCGGTTTTTTCGTCTTGCGAAGCAAGCCCATTGACGGATTAGCGCTATTAGCGCTATCAGCTGTTTAGCGGCTATTAAAGGCTTAAAGGCTTAGGGGATTAGCTGCTAAAAGGCTATTAAAGGCTATTAAAGGCTTAGCAGATTAGATAAAGGGGGAAAGCGAAAAAAATCTCAGGACTCGCAAGGTATTTTCGTCTTGCGAAGCAAGCCCATAGGGGAATTCGTCCTGCGAAGCAACTTCAAAACGGAAAACCCTTTCGTCTAGCGGTTTTTCCGTCTTGCGAGGCATTCGTCTTGCGGGGCACCACTGTATCTATATAATAATAATAATAATAATAATAATAATAATAATAATAATAATTTATTATTTATACCCCGCCCATCTGGCTGGGCTTCCCCAGCCACTCTGGGCGGCTTCCCCAAAAAAATATTAAAATACTGTACTACATCAAACATTAAAAGCCTCCCTAAACAGGGCCGCCTTCAGATGTCTTCTAAAAGTCTGGTAGTTGTTGTTCTCTTTGAAATCTGGTGGGAGGGCATTCCACAGGGAGGGCGCCGCTACCGAGAAGGCCCTCTGCCTGGTTCCCTGTAACTTGGCTTCTCGCAGTGAGGGAACCGCCAGAAGGCCCTCGGTGCTGGACCTCAGTGTCCGGGAAGAACGATGGGGGTGGAGACGCTCCTTCAGATATACTGGACAGAGGCCGTTTAGAGCTTTAAAGGTCAGCACCAACACTTTGAATTGTGCTCGGAAACGTATTGGGAGCCAATGTAGGTCTTTCAAGACCGGTGTTATATGGTCTCGGCAGCCGCTCCCAGTCTGCAGTCTAGCTGCCGCATTCTGGATTAGTTGTAGTTTCCGGGTCACCTTCAAAGGTAGCCCCACGTAGAGTGCATTGCAGTAGTCCAAGCGGGAGATAACCAGAGCATGCACCACTCTGGCGAGGCAGTTCGCAGGCAGATAGGGTCTCAGCCTGCGTACCAGATGGAGCTGGTAAACAGCTGCCCTGGGCACAGATTTGACCTGTGCCTCCATGGACAGCTGTGAGTCCAAAATGACTCCCAGGCTGCGCACCTGGTCCTTCAGGGGCACAGTTACCCCATTCAGGACCAGGGAATCCTCCACACCTGCCCGCCTCCTGTCCCCCAAAAACAGTACTTCTGTCTTGTCAGGATTCAACCTCAATCTGTTAGCCGCCATATTGTGTGTTGTTGAAGTTTTCAGTCGCTTTGATTGTTTGCAAGCTGCTCTGGGAGTCAAAATACTAAAAGGCAGGCCATAAAATAAAGTAATACATGTACACAAATCCACCAGAGGGCTAAATCTGGATGGAACAGATCTCAGCTTTCTGAGTAAAGCCAATGCTAGATGGTTCAAGATCATTTTATTCTTATTTATGCTTGATTCTGCATAGGGGATGGGGTTAGGAAGCAACAGGTGGGACTTCAGGCCCTACCAAGGGTAAGGGCTGGGGGGGCATGGTCCCACTCACCCTTTCTTAGTCCATTGGGACAGCATTCTGCCTTGCATGCAGAAGGTCCTGGGTCCAATCTCTGTCATGTCTAACCAGGATGAAAATATCCCTATCTGAAAGCCTTGAGAGCTGCTGCTAGGCAGCATTGATGGTACTGAGATACATAGATCAGTGGTCCAACTCAGCACGAGGCAGCTTACTATGGTCCTCAAAAATGCAATACCAGGCCCCAAGCCTCTGAACCAGGAAAGATGGATTAAGAATACCGTCCCCATGACACAATTCCTTCAAAAATGCTGCTTTCTTGCTTTTGTACCAGGAAAGCAAAAGGTGGCTTCCAACAGAGAGAATGTTGTGGTTATTAAGGACAAATTGTACATGCTTTATATTATTCCTTTCTTTCTAAAAGGTTCTGAGCATATTAGAGGCTGTTTGTGCCTTAGCAACTTTTCTAACACACATTGCCCTCGAGGTGCTGAACAGTTAACAGATGGAAACACTGAAATGTTCTGCCCTCTAGAAACTGTGCAGGAGGTTAAGTGTAAGAGATTAGTGGGGGGAGTGGCTCTTTATTCCCATTAATTAATACAGTTTCTTGAATTGCATGTGTTCCTAAGCTGCCTGAGCATAAGAGCATTAAAAGCATGCATTCCTTTGAGCAAACACTGCCTTCTGAACAAGATTAGGGTCCCTGCAACACCCAATTAATGTGGGTGCTGTCAAGCCAAGATAGATTAAGCCATGTGGAGAACAGCCTTTCTGCTATGGATTCTTATGAAATGTTTAAAGTGCTTGACATTTAGTACTTTTTTCACAACAACAGATTCGCTCCTTAGGTTTACTAATTATCATTATGAAAAAATAATCATGGTCTTTCAAATAACCTATGCCACAAAGGAATCCGCCCCCAAAAACATTCACATTTAAGGCAAGTGTTTTCTAAAGTTGTGAGAATGGAGGCGTACTTTTTGTTGATTAAAACACTGCCTCCACATGATGTAGATCAATAGCTGAGCCCATTCGCAGACCCTTAAATTTTATTTTTCATGCTTACGAATGAAAAACTTACATTGACCATAGTCTTCTTAGATGAGACCAACATGGTTGGGATCTGTCTGTCTTGGGAGACAGTGGAAAAGTGTGCCTTCAGGGGTGAAGTTCGAGAGTTACAGCACCTGCTGTGGCTATAGAGACCGATATGGGAGAGACATGTTTTGTTGCAGCTGGGGCAGATGAAGGTGCTGGGGCAGATACAGTATGCCCAGGCGTTTCTTCTTTCTGTGCTCCTCCTCTGGTCACTGCTGTGGATACATGACCTGACCAATTGTCTCCAGGCGCTGTGATCATCTTGCAAGGGCTTCCCACAGGGTGGGGGATGTTGCCAGCCTTCATGTCACATTTGAAAACATCTTTGTAATGCAGAGTTGGTCTGCCAATGGGCCTTGTGACTGAAGCCAGCTTTCTATAAAGTATGTCCTTGGGGATCCTGCCATCTTCCATTTTGTGCTCAGCAGACGTCGCTGAGAGAGGAGTGTGAACACACTGGGAATGTGGGCTTGGGGGAGCACATCTTCCTTTGAGACTCTCTCCTGCCACGTAATGTCCAAAATCTTCCTGACACAGTGCATGTGGGAAATTGGAATCACCATTAACCTGATACAGGAAGCCTCACCACAAGAAAGAAACCACATCTATCACACTAGGGAAGAGAGCACAGAACTGCAGATTAGGGGTTGTTGCAAAGGAAGATGAATGCCACACCCAGCAACCACAATAGTCTCCTCAAGCCTTTGAAGTCATTTTTACCAATGCAACTGAAGTTGGTTTTATGCTGTTCACAGCCACTTTCTCTCTTTGTGTTGGTGGCATAGAAATAAATAAACAAAAAGTTGCTGCCTTCCCCTGTCAGAATCCGGCCCCCAAAGCTGTCATTATGAGGGAATCTGGCCCCCAAGGAGGAAAGCCATTTCTCACCTCAGGGCCGGAGGCATAAAGGTACAAACAGCCAAAAAGACGATATCTAAAACAGCATTATAAACTATTAGTAGAGTACTTGACCTCTTTAAAATGTAGCAAAATAAACAAGAGTGGATATTTCTTTCTTTCTCTATTTCCAGTTCATGCAAGACCTCTGGGAGAGTTTCTTTTGCGTTATTACTTCACGTGCTGTGCACCAGCCACATTTTCAAAGGCCGTGGGCTGGGCCGGATCTCCCGCCTGCCTGCCTTAAAACTTGCCTGTCCCGCCGCTCGAGAGAGACAGCTAGAGAGAGCAGCGGGAGAGGCAAGCAGCAAACAGCCCTGCCTCTCGTGTCATGGCGACGCGCACTGCACGCACGCACGCTCGCGCCTGCGAACAAGCGAGCGGGACGTCACGTGGCCGACCGTGCCCACTAAGCGGCCGCGGCGAGGCGGCTCGCGGAGGAGCGGTTTGTTTCTCCCCCCTCACCCGCTTCCCCGCTCCTCCGGCTCCCTCCCACCTTCCCGCTGACGGTTGGTGCCTCGCGCCGCTGCCCACCCCCCTCGCGCGCTCCCCTCAGAGAGCCGTTGCCGCCAGCGCCTCTCTCTCTCTCTCCCTCAGGTGAAGAGGATGGTGGCGGTTCCGCCGAGTCGCGCTCCTGAGCCCCGCCGCCCTCCAGCAGCCGCGTCGCACGGTGGCCACAACGCGGGTGAGTCTGAGGTACCGGCAGCGGCAGCAGAGACCTCCTCCCCGCCTCAGGAAAGCGCCCTGAGGCGCCCGGCTGCGCTTTTGGTGCGGACGCCAGGCCTGCTCCCGGGGCGCCGATTGAATGGGGGAGCCGCGTCGGCCCCTCTCGCCTTTCTCCTACCCCCGCCAGCAGCATTCCTCCTCGTCCGGAGTCTCCTCTTCCGTGCCACGCTCGCTGCAAAGTCAGTCAGCCCGTGAATTAACGTCCTGCTTCCCCCCGCCCCCCCCCCCCCGGCGTTGTCAGTGCTTAAATGTTAACGGCATCCTCCAACGTTCTTTTGCGGAACATACCTAACTTAGCAAACGAAGGACGGTTTGGGGTGCGCGCGCGCGCGCGCGCGCTCTTGTGTTTCGTGTCCGGCTAACCTGGGAGTCAGCGCCGGTGGAACCTAGGCGTGTGTAAGACATGCAGGGAATTGCGCTAAATCTCGGTGAGCGAGGAGAAACTTGGCAGGGAGGGGCCGGGGAGAGACAGACGCTGGCTCGGGAGCCTGATAATCTAAATTCCGAAAGTGGGGATAGACGAAGGAGGGAGGGAATCGGTTCTTTTCTCCCGTTTTGGAGAGGGCAAATCAACCGGTCAGTCAGGGGGACGTGCACCTGAGGCAACAGTGCATCAGGTGAGTAAAAATATGAGCAGTTTTCGCAGGCCAGTTGTTGCCTTCCTTTTCCCTCTCCTGCTTGCCGCAGTGCCAGGAGGTACCTTTTCGAGATCTCCACGTGCAGGTTAGGTAGGTCCCTCTTTTGTACGCACTGTGCGATCGGGGAGGTGGAAGATCAGTATGTACAGTATGCAGAAGTGTGGGGTTGTTGTGTTGTTGTTGTGTTCCTTTCCCTCCCACCTTTGTAAGATATTGGACGTTGGGAAACTGGAGTTGAAAGATTTGTGGGTGATATATATATATATATATATATATATATATATATATATAACCAGCTGCTTACAAGTTCTTGCAACTAATGAGCAAGATGGTTTTGCTCCTTTGAGATGCTCTTTTGTGCTACCTAATGAATGCTTTCAGCCCGGGTCAGAATGTGGCAGTCTATAAATCGGCAGCTGAGAGAAAGCCTCAGTCCAAAACACTTTTTCTGCAAGTCAGACCCAATTAATTCAGTCAGACTTGCCACTGAGCAACCGTTAGAATTTTATTTGTTTGCTGATCATAATGTAGTGAAGAAAGTGGAACAGGCATTTCTAACATGAGTTGTAGAAAAGGAGAAACAGCTGTGAACCAGAATTTTCTGTATACTGGAATGTATAGCATTCTACTATGATGACCACATCATAGATTCCCTACCATTGTAAGGCAGAAGCGAATGTCATGGTGGAAGCTTTCTTCATATTTGTACAGATTTTGATGTTTAGAATTTCATCCCTGCTTCTATAGGAATGATATGTGGTAGTAATTTTTAAGGATAAGCAGGGCTTTTTTTCAGCCAGAACTCACCGAAATTCAGTTCCAGCACCTCTGAGGTGGCAGGGCACCATTGCTATTATAAGAGAACAAGGGAGGCATTTATGGTGAGTTCTGGCATCTCTTTTTCTAGAAAAATAGCACGGAGTAGACGTATCTGAAGTAAGTTTTCACACTTTTTTATTGGTAAAAGTTTCTTTAAGCCCTGGTTAGAAGTTTTGTATAGCCATGGGTTATTGCATGCGTTTACTAGCCACAGAAAAATATTCGGTGTATTGATCAAAATATTCCTATGCACTGTAGCCTTATGCATGTCTACTGAAAACTGAATCCCATTGACTTTAATGACACTTGCTCTCAGGTAAATGTCTATAGGATTGTCACCTTAGGCATCTTTCTATTGTGGAAAGTTCAAGCTTAAATAACATTGGAAATAATGTTTTAAAAACTCCCATTGTGTCATGTTATATCTGCTATGGAATGCCCTAACTCCTGAACCTTGTTGGCTGGAAAATAGCAACAGTGTGAGGTAGGAGACAGAATAGCTCCATTCTTAACATATCACATGACCTGGATTTCTGTGCTTCAATAATCCTTGCGTTTTTCTTGGCACAAGTTAGTGCGGGACAGGGAGTTGCTTTACTTTGCTCAGGGATTTAATTACTACTATGTTGACTAGGTTAAGCAACAACAATCCTTACTATTATTTATCACAGTTACAGTGTTGAGAATTGGCAGATGATTAGGATATTAACAGTGAATCAGAAAAAAACTTTCATTTGTTTCCTTAGTATATTGCAATTGCATCCTGTTATTGTATTGCAGACATTTGTAAAATGTGGATTTTACAGCCCCAGCGTGCGTGTAGGTGAGAACAATGTATTATTATTTTTATCTTCACTGTCACTACTAGTGATGTGTTGCATAGGTAGTGCCCTTTTATTATTTTTGGGTGGTATTCTCATAACTGAAGTATTGTTCATGACTGAACAATTGTTGTGGAGAGTGTATAGAAGGATAAAGTAGGATATGGAAAGGAGAACCATTCTTCAGCCTCTGATTGCTGCAGTAATCCAGCTAAACCCTACAAAGTCTAATCTTCTGGCAGAGATGGGTTTAGTACCATGTTGATTAAGTACTAGTTATTGAAGCAGGGGATAATATAGGGAAAATTACAGAACTGACGTAGGAAAACTTATGTGGGGGCTACGTTCTAGAGATTGTGCCTAAAGCCAAAATTGTGTATAGTCAAAACATATTGGGTTTAGCGGTGGATATGATTGCCAGTCTTTTTTTAATGTGTGTGCATGTGTATAGTTACAGTAGATGCACAAATAAATAACTGAATAAACAAATAGAGTGGTTTACAGCTGCTTTGTTAAATGTTTAGGCTTCTGCCTTCCTCAATAACCCATTTGTTATTTCAATTGGATGTTGGAAACCAATAGTACAGTTTTAAAGAGGCTTAAGATGAAACAATTTTAGCAAGACAAAAGTGGTATGCAACCATTTCTTTTTTTAAAAAGGAGAATTAAAAAAAGTGAAGGAAGCGATAGTATTGCCTCTACAGTTTCTTCATTTCCACCAGCTTACCAAAGTTAGAGAATTGGGAAGTGCATTCTCTCCAAAGATGCTGTTGCTGAAACAATTCCGATCTGAGAGGGGTAAAAAAAGAGTGCAGTTCTTAAGTTATTTAAAGGCTGGTATATGCATAGATTTAAGCTAAGATTGATAGTTCACCTTAGGTAACAATCTTAGAACTTTATTTATTGATTGCATTTTTAATGACCGTTCCAGTTTTTCAGCTTTTAGAATGCGGAAGAAGCAGAAAGCCTTTGTTTTCCTGTCTTTCACTCAGTGAGGATGATGCCATAGTAAGCTAGTCTATATTTCACAACTCTATTGATGCGTTTCAGCTAGATTGGAGTATTGCTCAGATTCCTCTTCTATGGTGCTAGATGGAAAATGAACATGACCTGCCTTTCTCAGTAGTAGTATCATGCCTAGTCAGTTCCTTTGTTCAAAACCTGTAAATCAGGGGCACCAACTTGAATAAAATATTGAGGGCTGGATTAAGCTCGCTCACACGCCCTCCACTTTGTGGAGGAAAACCTATTTTGTTTAACATTGTTTTTGTGTTTTGTTTTCTAACTTTCTTTTGATATATCTGATTGACTGCTGCCCCCCCTTTTTTTTAATACAAAGAAAGCTAAAATTCTATGACCTCTGCTGGCATGGGGCCCAGTGCACCTGTACCCCTCTGTGTCTCCCAGTTGGTAACTCTGCTTGGAAGGGTTTAGAAGCTTTCACTTCAGCTTTTGGTTCTGGTTAGGCGTTTCTTCTGCTGTGAATGGTTTTAGTGGTGTTTTAAGAGACAAACCTGTCTTGATGCACCTCTTGGAAGTGGTTCCACTTTCCCTCACCTTGATCAGTTCATGGTTCTCTAGGCCTGGTCTATCAACCGTGAAATCTTTTTTGTGTGCCAAGAAAAAGGTCTATCTGCCTCGCATTGAGACATGTGATCCTGTTAGGCGACATTTAACCAATCTATTATATTTCAATCCAGCAGCTTGGTCATAAAACTTTTAGTAGCTTATTCAGTCTGATCTGTGATGGTAGCCAAGTATTCTTAGCTATTGTTGTGGAAAAAATACTATAGATACTTAGAAAATTTTAGCAGTAGCTATAGTAGGCTATCTTAATATATTATAAGGTTGCCTGAATATCTGTTTCACATGACTATAGACAGCTTTAATTTTCTGTTTCTTCCTAACTCTCTTGAGAATGTTACATTTCCTAAAAGCATGCATGGGTTGCATAAAAGTGTTTAGATTTAAGTTTTATATTTTGGGTAGGATAACAGACATCCTTGTTATCACCATTTAAGCCATGAGCACCTTTGTTTTCTACAAACCTTAAGCTGTTATTCTTTTAAGGCTAATCAAAGTGCTTATGTAAACCGAGGCTATTTGCCCCAATCTAGGTACCTACAGCTTTCAACTATTTGGGAGCTTGCAATTACTTTGTAACCAGACTATAGCATATTATGGCTCTTTGGAATATAGAACTGTTCAGATTTTTATTAGTCAGGTTTAATAATGAACCGCCTTTCCATTTGTCTCATGTTTGGGGGGAAATGTTGACAGAATCCTCATGTCTGCAAAATCAGTGAAAGCTTTAGAAAAGCTAGAAGTAGTTAAAACTCTGTGGAAGCAATGATGTTTAGAATGGAATATAGTCATTTCACCATAGTCAGAATTGGCAGTATCTTTCAGCTAAAAAAGAAAGAAAACATGGCAACATTCTGATGCCAAACTCAATTTTTGCACTCAGGGAATTAATTATGGGTTGGGAAATTTGTATTTCAAGTTGGTAATATTTTTTACTTGAGTTGTATAAAGGCAAATAAAGCATGGCTTGCGGCATGGAGCAAAGACTATATGCAACATGGTATAAATCTATTTGTACCATACAAGTGTGGAAGTCAGTGCTGGACATGGGACTTGGATTCCTAAGCATCTCAGTCTTCACTTGGTAGTGGTGCCTGCTCTGTGGAACACCCTTCCATCAGATGTCAAGGAAATAAGCAACTATCCTACTTTTAAAAGACATCTGAAGACAGCCCTGTTTAGGGAAACTTTTAATGTTTAATGCGGTATTGTGTTTTTAATATTCGATTGGGAGCCGCCAAGAGTGGCTAGGGAAACTCAGCCAAATGGACGGGGTATAAATAAATTATTATTATTATTAGACCCCTTTAAGAATGGGATGGTAGACTTGCTTGATCTTCATAAGAACAGAAGAAGAGCATGCTGGATCAGACAAAAGGCTCATCTAGTCCAGCATCCTGTTCTGTCAGTGGCTATCCAGATGCCTGTTGGAAACTTGCAAGCAGGATATTAGCATAAGAGCACTCCTCTGTTCCGCAGTTTCCAGCATCTGGTAATCAGAAGCATACCACCATGATGGCAGAACACGGCCATGATAGCAGAGCACTGATAGGCTTATCCTCCATGAATTTTTCTAATCCTTTTTAAGACCATCCAGGCTGGGGACCATCATACTTCCTGTGGGAATGACTACAATTGGAGTATAGTTCTGATCTTCTCACTTTAAAAAGGGTATTGAAGAGAACAGGTTTGGAAAAGGGCAGCCACAATGATGGGGCAGCAAGTCCTGTATGAGGAAAGGCTACAGCATTTGGGACTTTTTAGTTTAGAGACAGTTGTGTAAGAGGTGTCTTCTGTTATTGTGTCTTCTGCCAAACAAGTGGTATCTTGTGTAGAGATGCCTGATGCTATTTTGTTCTTTAAATAGTACTGTTTAACTGAGATGGTCTGAGCAATTTGGTTTGGATGCTGCAAACACTATTTTCTTGAATCTGTTTTTCTTGAGCAACATAAAGGAGGAAAGGGATATTTCGGACCTCTGCATCTCCCAGGAGAAAGAGCATCAAGTAGAATTAGAGTAATATGGCAAACAAGAAGGATACTACCTTTGGAAAGGGAACATTGAAGCTGAAATAAAATAGGCAGGTTGAAAGAAATGCATCTGTTTTGAAGATATCAGCATTACTTCTTGGACTTCATGTTTTGACTAGCTTGCTTATAACTGTCTCCTGTGTCGATTGTGATATGTCATTGTGAATGTCATCGCTGTATCATGATCATACCAGAGAAATTTGTAGAATTATATATACAATCAAATTTTAAGAGTAGCTGTATTTTTCCAGAGTGGCACACAAATTGCCCCCCCCTTTAAACCATTTTTATTATATTTATATTCCACCATTACTCCAAGGAACTCAAGGTGGTTTACACGCTTCTTTCTCTCTCCATTTTATCCTTGCCAACAACCTTGTCAGGTAGGTCAATCCTAAGATAGTCTGTCCCAAGGTTACCCAGTGGATTGAGTGGGGATTTGAATCCTTTTGGGAATTGACTGGTTTTAATTAAAGGGCTGCTGTGCTTTTTATTATAATTATTGGTATGAAAACACCAACTAGATTATGCTGTAACTACAGGGCACATGCTTTTACTACATAACATTGTCCTCTGCCATCGTGCACTTTAATAGAGAAAGGTCAGTACTTGTTTTTTTCACTTAATTATTCAGAAAGCGAATCTTAAAACTGTCCAGCTGAGATGTGTGTATCTGCAGCATTCCTTTACAGCTCATTTAACCAAGTGCTATGGATACAGTTTGAAGAAACTGTGTGAAGACGACTTAATTTTTATAGGTACACTGGATTACTTGTATCTAGGAAATTGACCTTGCAGTCCCTTATTGTACTACAGTACTGGTGAGGACAAAGTGTCTCACTGTTAATGACCAGCAGCTAATACTGGAAACTTAGTGTGTACTGTTCATTGTGCATGTCTGTTCATTGAATTTAGTTTAAAGGGGCTTAGTCCTAAATTGATGGGTATAGGATTGCAGCCTTAGCTCTCTTCTGTTCAGAAGACCTAAATTCAGAGGTCATAGCATATATTATTTGCAATATTGCAGCATGTATATGTATATATGCCAGTGCAGGTTTGTGGGCAAATTAAAATTTGTGGGAGGCTGAAGCATCATTGCCACTGCTTTTTGCAGCGTGGCCTATAAGCAAAATTAAGAATAAGTTTCAAAATTAAGTAGGAAGGGGCAGGAACTGAACATATTTCTGAACTGGTTATGACATTCTCATAGGAAATATACTGTTCCTTGTTTGAGAATTCTACTGAGTAGCCAACATAGAGAGGCCATCATGTTTGTGCTTAATTACATTACACAATTAAGTAATGTAATTACTTTCCCCTCCCCTTCAGTTACACAAGGAATTACATACACCTGGCTCTGTTTTTCTCCCTCTGCAATCCACAACACTTGCACCTCAAACTCAGGAATATTTTCTGTAGTTGCAACTACACAATAAGTTAGTAACGGAGACTGGTGACCCGGAGCTTGGTATGATCGAGGGTCTTCCCACCTCACCTGCAGCAATCCCTTGTTGCATTGACATGGTGTTGCAGTAGTTCTTTCTGACATAGGTAAACAAGAGTGAAGTGGTGCAGCACTCAAGTGAAGAACCAGAGTTTCTGTGTGTTTAAGAGAACAAAGCTTGAGAACCCATATCTTTTCTCCTGTAGGATGAGTTGAAATAGAGCTAAAGTTGCTGTCTTTTCAGCCTTTGCTCAGTTCAAAACTTGGTCCCTGTTAAAAATTAGTTGTTGTGCTGCAAATATTTTAAGCAGTTAGGCTGTAAATGTTTAAAGTTCAGATTACATTTGCTGTTAATGTGTCTCAACCTGACATTTCCAGTGTAACTTTACTTGCTTAACATGGTATTTGTGCCATTCTTTCTTTGCATCTCACACTCTTTGCTCCAAATGCTGAGGGCCAGGATTGGAGGTGAAGATCAGTCTGTTTCTAACAGTTGAATTTGCAAGTAGCTTGTTAGTTTTAAAAAAGGAAGGACTCACTGACTGAATACCTATTTTAATCAGGTTCTGAAGCAGATTTTGCAAGTCCTGAGAAAGAATTTAGTTATCATTAACTACTGTTAGTGCCAAAGCAGATACAACACAAAATGTTTGTTAAGTCAAGGGCAGTAGGATTTTTAAAGGAGACGGGAGGGAGTATTAGTTTCTGAGAGTGATGCTTGATTTACAAAAAGGAAGCCAGAAGTTTATCCAAGATAGAGACATTTTATTGAGATGCCCACAAGGCATTTGAGAATGTAACCTTATTATGTGGTGCTTTCTTTGTAGAATATTTGCAATGATCATTTATGTAAAAATACTGTTAATGCTTCACTTAAAAATTCTGTATCCATTGTTGTTCCTTAATTTTATGGTAACTTGGCATACTGATAAGTTGATGTATGATTTGATGCTTTTGTATAGAATGAAAAATTGTCATTCTCAAGACATTATTACAGTATATGGTTAATTTAAAATAGATCATTTTCCGAAAGGCCAGCTTTCAGGAAGAGGCTTGTAATTGGAAATCTTACCCTTTTCTCTTTTATATTTTTTTAGGGGATTGAGAATGTGCTAACAACAATGCTAGGATTACAATGGGAAGTGTCACACTTCGCTATTTCTGCTATGGCTGCCTCTTCACATCTGTGACCTGGACACTTCTACTCTTTATTTATTTCAACTTCAGCGAAGAGACCCAGTCTTTCAAGAATGTGCCCATCAAGGGGCTTGAACCTCAGAAGCCATTTCCTAAAAAGATCTATCCCCGTTTTGTCCATGGGCCAGTACACATACCTGAAGCTCACCACAGATACAGTAAGAACAGGAATCCATTGGGAAATGCTGCACAGGATCCCATCAAGGGGGATACTGAGATGTCTCCTGAAATGGGTAAGTGAATAGTAATTGCCTGCATTGAAACTCATATTGTGAAAAACAGATGTGAAGTGCTTCTGTCTTCCTATGTAGTTTCAGACAGGAAACGAATGGGAGCCCTAAATTAGAAAAGTGCTTGCTCTTGAAGCACAGTGGTTTACCCAGATTAGTAATTGCCAGACATATATATTACTAATGAAAAATGCAGAGGCAATTCAATTAAATCTGCTATTTTAATAAACCATTAAAATACAAATAGATCTTTGTCTAGTTTAGTGCCAAAATATGCTAGGGATATTTTGCCATCTGCAAAGAAATTATCATCTGATAAGGTAATCAGACTTGCTTTATTTATTATATGAAAGCCAGACATTCAGGATAGTATTCATTATGAATCACATTCTACAGTATTAGGGGTACAGCTTGGTCTGAAATGTATTTGTTAGAATCCACCTGGGTCTGGATTCTGAGGAGACCTTTGGAAGAGCAAGATTCTGTAGGAGTCTTGGTATTATAGGGGAACAGGAACCTTGAGGAACCCACAATCTTTGAGGGCTTGCAGAATCTGCCAGCCTCAAAAAAACATCCCAGCCAAGGAACTAAGTGTCCCCACATTCTCTGCCCCCCTCTTTCTCTCATAATTGAAGGTGGTGGTGGGCCAGTCTGGAAGCCCAGAACTGGCAACAGTGAACCCCTACAACAGCTCATGTAGCCGCTTATGGTCTCTTTACTGTAGTTCCACCTATGATAAGGGGAAATGAGTGTAATCCCTGGAATAAGACCCAACTGAGAATGAGGAAGGGGCTTAGCAGTCACTACTACAGAATTTTGTAGCCTCTGTCTGGTGTCTTGTACTATAGCACCTTTTCTTCACGGAGCCAGTTGTACTCTGCACTCGGGTCCCAACCTCAATTTCCTTCTTACTTCCTCAGGGGGAGGAACCTATTCAGCATTAACTAATGCATGTAGAATGCTATTACTGCATGTAGCTCTCAGAAACATATTTTTGTCCAGTAGGTTTTTCTTCATGAAATTGGAGAAGCTAAAAATTCTTATTTACTTTTTTGATCACGCTTTCCCTGAATGCTTGCTTCATAGTGAATGAACTGAAGATGCCTATTGGCTTTGACTGTTAAGAAGATTAGGTTACATGACCCATAAGCTGTATGCAATTTTAGTTGCAGCAAGGAGAGAATATGCTTTGTAAAATAGGGAGGAAAGCTTAGAATCATTTCCAAGATGCATTCCCTCCTTTAAAAAGAGTCTTTTTCTAGAATAGGCATGGCCCAGGTACATTCTCCAGAGTTTTCAAACTAAAGGTGCTTGTTTCTAGTCCTCTGGTGTGCAAGAATAGGTAACAGGTCACAAAAATAAAAAGAATTTGAACTCATTGCATGCTGCTTTCTAAACCTTTGTACTATACCCCCCACCGGTTTGATTTGATTTTTCTTTTTTGTGCTGCATCATCCACCGGTTTCAATATATGTAGTGAAAAATAAAACAAACTAGCTGTAGTCTTCTGGCCTGAAAATTTTAACCGCAGTATGGCTGTATATTATGGACAAGTGTTGTTAAGGATGTACACGTAGATGTGTTTTCTGCACAACTGGAAGATCTAGAAGGAGCAAGTTTAGAAAAGAAAAGGGAAGAGAAGAGAAGAGAAGAGAAGAGAAGAGAAAAGAAAAGTGGTGTGGAGTATTCTATGCCCCTTGATGCCATTTTGTCCTCTTTGCACTGTGCAATCTGTTCTTTGCCTACTATGTTCCTGCCTGTAATATGGGCAAGTGAGGTTAACGAGTGGTTAGCGTGGACTAGGTGTATTGAATCAACATGCAAACACAGCCATGTCTCCTCCTCTGAAATCCCATGCAGCTATATCACTGGGGACTACTTAAAATTATTGAGACCAGCTTTGCAAATTGTGTGTGTATTTTAGCCTTGTGCCTCCTACATTCTTGCTGTCCTTCTCCCCCACTCCCTCCTGCCCCAAACAGCAATACAGTGGTACCTCGGGTTAAGTACTTAATTCGTTCTGGAGGTCCATTCTTAACCTGAAACTGTTCTTAACCTGAAGCACCACTTTAGCTAATGGGGCCTCCTGCTGCTGCTGTGCCGCCGGAGCATGATTTCTGTTCTCATCCTGAAGCAAAGTTCTTAACCTGAGGTACTATTTCTGGGTTAGCGGAATCTGTAACCTGAAGCATATGTAACCTGAAGCGTATGTAACCCAAGGTACCACTGTATTCCAGCTACCTCTTCTGGCTCTCTTAAGACTTGAAAAAAGAGCTTCATTAGTACCATAGTCGTATGGTAAATACTGCACAAATATTGCTATAAATGCCTTGAGCTTATATAGGCCATCCTGTTTGGCAGTGAGACCTCCTCATTTGTCTTTCCCTGGGCCAGGAAATGAGTATGGGGCAGTAATTTGAATTGGAATATATCATTAGCTGAACACGTAAGTTTAAGAAGTTGATCATTGGCAATACATGAATTAGACAGTGAATTGATTTTGGCACATTCTCCATTGCAGGTATGATTTTTAATGAGCAAGACCAGGAAGTGAGAGACTTGGGCTATCAAAAGCATGCTTTCAATATGCTCATCAGTAACCGGTTGGGATATCACAGAGATGTGCCAGACACAAGAGATGCAAAGTATGTTTCTGCATGTTCTCGATAAAGTGAATGCTTTGTTTCAAGAGCCCAATGGTGAAGATCTAGCAAAAAGGCCAACAGAATGATGGGCAGTGGGAAGGATGGGGCTTGTATGTTGCAGCGATGCCTTTGGCAGTGTGCCTATATATATATTCCTACATATACTGGGGGTGGGGGTGGAGATTCCATTAGGGAGCTGTTTAGCTGCTTCTGAGAAGGTGAACATGGAAGGAAATAGCACCTAAAGAAAGGGCTCAGTGCTTTGCAAAAATGGCTTAGTCCTGCAGAAGGGGAAAGTCAGAAGGTCAAGCATTTTACGGTGTTTGTAGGCATGCAAATGGTTGGTTTAAATTTTAATCAGAACTACCACAGGGGAGGCACTTTTTGCATTCCTGTATGGCTCCTCTGAGATGGAGTCCAGGGCACTTCATATTGTGAGTGGAGTGCATGCTACACATCTGGAACAGCAGCAGTCTTAAGTGTATTACTTTACTTTCTCCCATAGGATTCCCCCCCCCCATATTTTCTTCATGGGGGGAGAGCAGCTTTGGCCCTTCCCCCAAAATCTGGCAGCTTATTTATTCCCTCCACCCAATAGAACTTGACTCTTTGAAAAATGTCTATTTCATAGCCCTGTCCTGGGTTCTATTTCTTAGCCATGCTAAAGAAAGAAAAAGGATATCACATGTGACATTGTAGTTTTTTCATCAAGTAAACATTTTTCTTCCAGTCCTCTACAGATTTAAGGTCTCCTCAGAGTTGTCGAATGAGCATATTTCCCCCCAAATAGAGAGCTGATGGAAATGAGAGAGGATGAGAAGTAAGAAATTCAGACCATACCAGAAATTATATTAAGAAAGGGAGCGATTCAGAAATAACATGGTTTTGAAAATAAGTTCCTTTTTATATTTACATTGGCAAAATATGCATAACATGTAGAATTGCTTGACGGTTCTTGCTGTGCAGTATGCAAGACAAATATGTATTTTTCTGTTGCTTAAAGTGCTTAACTTTGGCTGGATTGTGCCCTTTGTGCGTGAAGTTCTTTGCAATGTAAAATCTGATAATCACTATGGCATTGCTATCCATACAGAATTTAAAAATTCAGAACCAGCTTTTAACATACGCATGCACAAAAGGCTGTCTTCCTTTCTATTGTAATGCAGCTATATATTGTGTACCTTGAGAAACCAATCTTTTCATTTCAAATTAAATATCCAGATTTGTGAAACAGCCCTAATAGTTGCAGATCACTGAATATTTTGTTTTTTGAGCTTTGATTTTGGCTTTGTCATGATCCTGTTGTAATGTGTAGGTTCAAAGATCTCACTTAAAAGGCCTTTATCTCCTTATTAGGACAGAGTGAACATTGAGTTCATTCTTGACATCATTCTGTGTTTTAAGTATGGTTATGAACAGGGCTGCAAGATACTTTGCAAAACTTAGTAACCTGTATAATTTTCTAGAAGCAATATTGGAGAGAAGGAAGGAAAAATACAGCTCCCTACCCTGCTTTCCTTTGAATTCAGTGTTTAATTGAGAATTCCTAGGACTCAAGCTTAACTGGAAATTAGATATACAATCTCTTCCCCCCCCTCCCCATCATTACTGTTACATATTTTCTCTAAGCTATAGAATTGTAAGAGGTTCTGTAATATAGGAGGCCCTACTTGTACCTACAGGGGTCAGTAAAAGTAAAAATGAGCCGTGGAAACTGCTGAATATGAGGAATAGCTTGAAGAAGGGGAAATGAATGGAATAGAAAGGGAAAGATATTTGGGTCTTAGAAAGACATGCAAATGGACAGGAAAAAAAAGCTGTGGAGAAATTTAAAGAATAGTGTTTAAAGTTGTATGGAACAGTAAAGTAGGGAAGTAGAGAATTAAAAGGGGAAAGAGCATATATTCTTTGCATGCTGAAAATCTCTGAATCAAGTACTGCCACCTCTAGGTATCACTGGGAAACACCCCTGTCTGAGATGCTGCTGTAGTTGGTGTGGAGTATATTGAATGAGATGGATCAGTGGTCTGACTCTGTATAAAGCAGCTTTATGCGTTTGTTAGGAGGATATCAGGATTAGAAAGGTATCGCAGTGCTGAAAGAAAAATTAAATGGGGAAAGGAGGATGTTGAACGAAATGTAAGGTGAAGAAAGGGCTATGAATGGAAGGAGCAGAGGAAGAAAATGAGTGGGGTGAGGTGGGGAAAGGACTGGATTTTGAATAACTTATCTGTGGAGGCATTAGAGATAGGATGACTGTGTTCTCTAAATTCCCTGTTTTCATTATCTTAAAAAAAAAGTTAGTGGACAAATGTAATGCAGAGGAAGAAATGTAAAATATGCAGAGTTCAGTTTCTTCAAACAACAAGCACGCACAGTAGAAGGATAAATCTGCATCCTCTACAGAAAACAAAATCCTGTATTCCTCAGCAACTCAATTGCCAGACTCCTTTTTTAGGTGCCAATGATTCACAGGGCATATGGTTTCTTAAACTCATGAGTGAAAGAGATTCTGTGGGGGAAACAGCTACACGCATATTGCATGGTTATTATAAAAGGGAGGGTGCAGCTTCTATTTTGGTATTATATGGGGTGTTCGTGAAATATTAGCAACATTCTTTGAAAACCATGTGTTATAATATGTGCTTTTTCTTTCTTGCAGGTGTAAAGAAAAAAGTTATCCTCATGATCTGCCCTATGCTAGCATTATAATTTGTTTCTATAATGAAGCATTCTCTGCCTTGCTTCGGACAGTGCATAGCGTTTTGGACCGCACCCCATCTAATCTTCTCCATGAAATTATCTTGGTGGATGACAGTAGTGAATTAGGTGAAAGACTCTTGCATTATATGCTAATTTTGTGCAGTGTAGTCTAAGGATACTTGGACTACTGACCGATTACTAAATGCCGTCTTACTCCCCTTGCCTTTTCTTACTCTAGCTGATCTGAAAGAAGAATTGGATGCTTATCTAACAAAAAATCTTCCGAACAATATAAAGCTAGTCAGAAATGAGAAGCGAGAAGGGCTAATTCGTGGGAGAATGATTGGCGCTTCCCATGCTACAGGTAATGTCCTTTATATCTATGAATTCATGCAGTCCCTTTGCTTGTTCAGTACTTCTAAATCATGATGGTTTGTCCAAATTGCTTGTGACTTTAATACATTTAATGAAGAATAAAGAAAAATATGAAACTTCTCATAGTAAATGCTCCTTGATCAGCTTTCAAGCAAAACAATACTACTACTACTACTACTGCTACTACTGCTACTACTACTACTTTATAATTTATACCCCGCCCATCTGGCTGGGTTTCCCCAGCCACTCTGGGCAGCTTCCAACTGAATACAGTGGTACCTCAGGTTACAGACGCTTCAGGTTACAGACTCCGCTAACCCATAAATAGTACCTCGGGTTAAGAACTTTGCTTCAGGATGAGAACAGAAATCGTGCTCCGGCGGCGCGGTGGCAGCAGGGGGCCCCATTAGCTAAAATGGTGCTTCATGTTAAGAAACAGTTTCAGGTTAAGAACGGACCTCCAGAATGAATTAAGTTCTTAACCCTAGGTACCACTGCATTAAAAACACAATGCAGCATTAAACATTAAAAACTTCCCTAAACAGGGCTGCCTTCAGATGTCTTTTAAAAATACATCATTAAAATGAACAAAAAATAAGTCAGCAAAATACATAGAACATCCCTGGATTCAAAAGCAAATAAAAGTCTGTTGCTGAGAAGACCACTGTTAGTCACAGTTAGTAGATAAGAAATATAATTCTATCACTGTCTCAAATTTTAATATGTATGCTTCTTCCTGTTATTTCCTGATGGTTAAATATTCTGTAGGTAGTTGTCAGCATCAGTATAGAACCTGAATACTTGTGAAGGGGTCAGACTATAGTGAACCACCATTTGGAAAATAGGGTGGACACTCAAGAATAGTGTAGTTGGCTATCTCTTCTCTATTTTAACTTACTTAAATATGGAATCTCTCTTGCTGTCCAGGATCATCCCACTTCTGCTCATGGTGAGGAAAGCAGGGAAGGGGCAAATCTGAGGTTGGCTTCTAATCTTGAGTGTATTAAGCCTGGGAAGTAATGTTATAACAACCCCCTTGTTATAAAAGGTTTTTATTTCGCCATAATATGTACCAGTTGTGAAAACCAGGGTTTGTGAAATGCAGTAAAACAACTGTGGCTTGTCTTTCTTTCCCCAAAAGGGACTAACTTATCTGGCCCTAGCTCACTACATGTAGGTTGGCAGTTAAATTGTTTCCATTATGACAAGGCATCTTATTAAAGCTGTTTACAAATACCCCATTCATACTGATTCACAGTCATCTCCCCAGAGAGATTTGTTGTGGCTATAACATTTAATTAGGTTAAAGTATCTTTTTGATAATCTTTATAATCAGCCTGCATTGTGCATGAACAATAATCAGTGTTGAATCAGGAAAGCTTGTGTTATAATTTGTAATGATGATCTAAGCTCCTCCTAATTAATGCGTGTTAATCATCTACATTAATGCAGTATAATTACATTGAAGTTCCGAACATGCAGCAGTACTTGTTCAGCTTTACTATTTGAGCTCAGTGCTACAGCTTGTGAATAGCTTCCCTAAGCTATACCCAGTGAAGTAGGAAAATTTTATAGCTATAATTGGAACACCTAACTGCCTTTTTAGAATGGAATTTCCTGAGTTTCTGGTTTCCAACCTTGGCTTTCATTTAGGAATAACTTCTAAGTTTTTGTTGGGCTTTTTAAAACTCATAATTGCATCTTTTTTACTGGCTACCCCCTTGGCCTTGTTTATGACTCATAATTGTAATGGATGACTTATGATCATTAGTATAGTTTTTATCATTTTAGCCTCCTGAGAGCATTCATGATGAAGGCTGTGGGATACAAGTTATATAAATAATACTCTTGGTGATTCCACACCTGCCCCGCCCCCAAAATCTGAAGGATGCTGTAACTTAATTTCCCTAGAAAAAGTACTTGATATAAGAAATGAAACTATTAGCCCACTTATTATTACATTATTAGTACCCAAATAATTGCTACAATTTAGGTCACCACCCTCTCACTCCATGTGTTTTCCAACAAGACAAGGTCTGGCTATTTGAGTTGTGTGTTTGTAGTTATTCTAAAATTGATTTCTTGAACAGGAAGAAATCCTGTTTGAGGCAAGTTTTGAGTATTATAATGTGTTCTGACATTTGTATTATAATGTGTTTGGGGGTGTCTTCTGTCTGATCAGGTGAAAATTGATTTAAATGTCATGGGGGACCTTAACTGACACCTGAAGAGGGGGTGGAGATAAAACGCTCATTATGCATAGAAGGGTAGAATATATGCATTATCTGACTGCTGGCTGCAGGAGTAGAATTCCTAGTTAGACATGTGATTGGCTAAGGCCAGACCTGGGATGGAGCAGGAGTCAGCCCATGTTGGTTGGCGCTTGATGTTCATAGGGAACAGCCCATAGAAGAAGACAATAGAGGAGGAGCTGAGAGGAAGGCAGCATAGTTTGGTGGCCAAAGACTTGCTGGGGTAGGTGAGTCACTTGGCTTAGCTAAATGAATGAGAGGGGTGGGATCTGTCTACAGCACTGAGGTAGAAGAAGTGAGAAGCAGTTTGGAATGGTAGGCTCTGGATTCCGGGTGGAGAGTCAGAGGAAGATTCCAGGACAGGGTTAAGCAGGATGGTGTAGATACAAGGGCAGTCTGGCAAAAGGGTTTTAACAGGGTAACCTAACTGCTTCCTCAGAGCTGCCATGGTTTAATAACGGTAGTGTAAAATAAGCAGTTGATATTTAAAGTGGCAGTAACAACTTAGCAAATGCATACTTATTTAAAGAGAGAGTACTATGCTAAAGCAACCACATAAGCTTGTGCACTACATACTCTTGTAGTAAATAAACATTAATATTTTTGTAAAATATTGTAGTTATCTGTCAGGCTTTGCACCATGTCTATATCCCAGTTACCAGGGCTGTTGATAAGTTAAGGGTTCAAAGGGGTAAGTGATATTATATGGTGGTTGTAGTACGAGTTTAGGAAAACCATTGGAGTGGAAGTTGGGGTTTGTTAATAGAATAAGTAAATAATCACACACACCCCTTCCCACTGAAGTTTGAAAGGCCCAATTCTTGTATATAGCCACATAGATGGGGGAATCCCTCAAAATGTAATCATGAGATAATCCATCCCAAGTGTAGTGTGATAGAGTTCTGCCTTTTTAAAAGAAAGAAAAATGGAATTACCTGGATGTAGCAAGTACTTGAGATTTCCCCATCAGGCTGCTGTGTTTCATATTGTTCCCCTCTCTCTGCTAGAGTGGAATATGTCTCGAATAATGAAAATATGTAACTCTGACTCTGATTGCCTTGCTTTTTGTTCTCTGTTCTTATTGTGCTTCTTTTTTCTCAGGGAAGGTACTTGTGTTTCTGGACAGTCACTGTGAGGTGAATGAGCTGTGGTTGCAACCTTTGCTGACACCCATCCAGGAATCACGGAAAACAGTGGTTTGTCCTGTCATTGATATAATTAGCGCTGACACGCTTACCTACAGCTCTTCCCCAGTTGTCCGTGGAGGGTTCAACTGGGGTCTGCACTTTAAATGGGATCTTGTTCCTTTGTCAGAACTGGAAGGCCCTGAGGGAGCCACTTCTCCAATCAAGTAAGATTTACTTATTTATATTATAACCCACACTGCATTGTTCACACAGAGTGAGAAACATTAAAATACAATAAAACAATATTTCATTTAAAGACAACTTGATGTAAACAAAGACAGTAAGCTAGCAGCAAAGCTGCTACATAATATGCTATGTAGTAAGATACCTTCTCTAAGTACCATATGCTAAAGAACATACCATATTATGAAGGGAGTACCGTATATGCAACCATGTGCTCCATCAAGGAAGGGGAAGTTAAAAAAAGTGGGGTACAACTGCTTCAACACTCATCTTTAGGTCTGAACACTTAAACTGAAAAGAAGAATGAAGAAAAGGGATAGCCAATTGATGCAATGAGCTGTACTAGCAAATGTCAATAATTTTCTTTGGAGAAATCTCTTTCAACATCTAATTTTTAACAGGAAAGTTGAAACCAGAATTTCAGCAAAGCTGTTAATGAGTTGATATCAACATATACCGTATTTTTCGTCCCATAGGACGCACCTAGTTTTTTTGGGGGGAAATAAAGGGAATTTTTTTCCCTTTATTTCCCCCGCAAAACCAGGTCGGGGAATCCAAACCAGGTCAGGGAACAGTGGGATGGCGGCGCTCCGCCTCCCCGCTGCCCCCCGAGCTTGTGGGGCTGCCCAATGTCTGCCCGAAGCGCGGGGCGCTCTGCTTCAGCGCGCCCTGCGCTCTGTGCAGCAGGCTGCTATCCGCAGCCTAGGGAGCCCTGCGGGAACTCCCGCGGGCTCCCAGGCTTGCTGATAGCTTCCTGAAGCCTGGAGAGCGTGAGGGGTCGGTGCGCACCGACCCCTCTCGCTCTCCAAGCTTCAGCAAAAGCCTGCATTCGCCCCATAGGACGCACACAAATTTCCCCTTCATTTTTGGAGGGGAAAAAGTGCGTCCTATAGGGCGAAAAATACGGTAATAAATGACTTATCCATAAATGCTGTTCATTCCAAGTTTGGCAAGCCTTTAATTCAAGGGTTCCCAAATGTTTTGGACTAGTGGGTACATTTAGAATTTTGAGAGAGTGCTGGTGGCTGACACAGGAAGTGTGCCATAACGCAAAATTAGAGGTCAAAACCAGTACTTTGAATTGAGCCAAGAAGCTAATGGGCAGCCAGTGCAGTCAGGCAAGGATTGGCATTATATGTTCAAACCGTATTGTAACAGTGAGCAACCTGGCCGCCAAATTCTGCACCAAGTTGGTGACTCTTGCTTTAATTTGTAACCTGTCATGGGAACAATTGGTAAGTAAAGGTCCTTAAGACCTTGTACAAAAGCCTAAGAGATGTGTCACAAATGAGGGAGGGTAAGGGAAGAACAATGCTTATCATACAGTAGAAAAAGTGGCAGACTCCTTCAATTACTTCATTACATCTATGCCCTTCCATGTAGCCATAAGGGCCTCTCAGGATGGCACACAACAATAAAACAATCAGTAAACTTAAAATTAATAAAAATTACACGCCAAAAAATCAGAATTGGGGATCCAGAATAACTTCCTAAAAGCCATTACCTGCCTCCCGAGTGGTATGCACTGTCTTTCTGCAGATTTTCAAAGTTTCCTTGAGTAGAAATGATGCTCAACACCACCTTGTCACCATTTTTTAAAAAAAATTAGGGGCCGGTGTTTGGATCGTATGTGAGTTTCTATTCCCACTCTGTTAGTCTTTTAAATATCTTATTGATTGGCCAGTATTCCAATTTCCCCCCCTGCTGCTGGACTTCCACATTTGATTCATAACCATACGTACCTCACATCAATCCTCTGTAAATTTTGTGTGACTTCAGCACTCCCCCACCTCTCCTCCCATCATTGGTAGGTATAGCTTTGGAAAACACTTTCTTTTAGGTCACCTACAATGGCAGGCGGCTTGTTTGCAATGGACAGAGAATATTTCAATGAACTTGGACAATATGATAGCGGCATGGACATCTGGGGAGGGGAAAACCTGGAAATATCATTTCGGGTATGTATGCTATTTTTGTAGACTATAACTTTTTTTCTTGGACGAGGACAATGATTGAATCGCATTTCTTTACACACTATGGTTGCGCAGTAATTTTCTTTAATTTTGCAGAGCAGTTATGTGAGTGTTAAAAGTTCTTCTAAACTAGGTGTTGGGAATATTTTCTGGTCGGACCAGATAATTGATTTTTCTTAAAAATAAATTTCCTTTTTCGTATCACAACTTTCATCACCTCCAACTAGCAGGACTAGTGGTCAGGCATGATGGGAATTGTAGTCCCAAAAGAGCTGAAGACCAAAGTTTGGGAAACCCTGATCTAGAAGTTATAGCTTCTATCAGCTGTAATCCTTTCTAACTATGTTAAATAGACTCAACATCTTCAGAAACCACACCTATGCTTAATATGACCTTCCTTGAGTAATTATCCTTTGTTTTTATTACTTCTGTTTCTGAGCAGATCTGGATGTGTGGGGGCAAACTTCTCATCATCCCATGCTCCAGAGTCGGACACATCTTTCGTAAAAGGCGACCTTATGGCTCCCCAGGCGGGCAGGACACCATGGCGCACAACTCTCTACGGCTAGCTCATGTGTGGATGGATGAATATAAGGCAAGATGGCCTCTACTGTAGAATTACAAGCCATAGCAAAAGGTGGATGTATCTGGGTGCCTTGGTGGTCACAGCAGGGATGGAGATTCAGAAACTCTGGTCCCGTTCCTGAAAAGTGGTAGTTTTTTCATCTTCTACTTTTTGTGTGGTTTCAGAACCTTCAATATAGGTTCTGAGTTGTAACAAAAGTTTAGAAATGCATTGATAATTGCAGGAGCGAAGATTAAAGAAATCCAATCCAGAGGCGTAAGTGATGGAAATGAAATATAAAACATTAAACATTCTCAATTTTACTGAAGGGAAACTGGTGGAATTCCATCCTGATTTTACCAAATGCTGCTGGATGATCTCTGTGCAGAAACCAGCAGTTCTACATCTTCTGCTATTCTTTCCTTGGTGACATGTAGTAAAACAGTGAATCAGAACAAAATTGGTCCTACCTGAAGCATAGGTTTCGTCGGTTACGAGGGGGTAACTGGGGCCCAGCCCTTTGGGGTCTGCAGTTATGTTTTCTAACTTAGGTTATATGTTCACTATTTATCTTCACATTCTTACTTACACACACGTTTTGAGCCAGGGTGGGAGGTAGACAATTATGTTCAGATTTTTTTTAATGGACACAGTTTGCAGCTGCTATGAAAAACTGAATAGAGCGAGCTGACCCCCCACAAATCATTGCTCCTGCCTTTGTCATGTGATTGAGGCCTGTCCCAACCCAGTTAACCCCTCGTCAACCTATGGAAATGAGGGTGTGATGATGATGACGATGTTGTATCCCATTGGTTTCCCACTCCTGCACCACTTCGTTGGTTGGTTGAGGGAGTGGGACATTCACAGTGTGATTGTCATGAATCCAGGAATGAGAGACAAAGCAGATGGGGAATGCTGTTTTTGGCAGTGGTCACATAGGTCCCAAAATGTGTGGTTCTGCCCTTGGTCATTATTGGCTGGATAGGCACAGTAGTTTCAAAGTGTAGCTTTATAGCATGTACAAACCGCATTGGTTTATAGTTCAGAGAAATTGGCTTTTTGCTTGTTTTGTTTTCAGTCCTGTGTATTAATCCTCACTTCAAAATAGAATCATTGTTCTGAACTGTAATTCTTCCTACCACACTTTCCTCTCTATGACATAGGAACAGTATTTTGCTCTGCGACCAGAATTACGGACAAGGAACTATGGGAATATTACTGATCGTGTGGAGTTGAGAAGAAAGTTGAACTGCAAATCGTTTAAGTGGTATTTAGACAATATATACCCAGAGATGCAAATTTCTGGTTCTAATGCCAAAGTACCGCCGCCACTCTTTTTCAACAAAGGGCAAAAACGACCAAAAACATTGCAACGTGGACGGGTAAGATGCTGTTCTAACTCTTCAGGTTCTTTAAAATCGTACTCTGAAAAATGTAGTTATAAAGATCACAAAAGCTGGCATCTGAATTAAAAGAAACTATTATTACTTTCTAGCTGTTGTGCAGCTTCGCAATAAGAGTAGCTTTGAAAATCTGTAATTATGCACTGTAGTTTTTAGATCAAATATGCTAAAGGTATCATATCAGTCTTACTTGCCTTGCTTCCTGTGCAGGTTAACAACCTTCGTTATGGATGAACGTCTTTCACATTTGTAGGTGACTATAATCTCTTGTCTGATCAGAAGCACTCTTGCTTTAGGACAGGGTGGTCCAAGCTCTCAAACCAAGTAGGCCACAAGAGTACTTCAACACAGAACCTGGGGGGGCACACTGAATTAAATTTCCATATCATAAAGTGTTTGCAATATATTTAATATTATTTATTATACACACATTTACCTACCTACATACCTAAAAAGTGACCAAAAATCATGGAGGCTGCCTGGTGTGAGGGAAGTTGCTGGATGCAGGCAGGACTCCAGAAAGGAAGGAGGAAGGGAGAGGGAGGAGCCAAGCAAGTTATTACCAGCTCTTGGTGGGGCAAGTCAGAGAGAGGAAAAGAGTGCGAAAATGAGCAACTCACTGCAGCTCTGCCATTTTGCTTTTATTGCTTTCTTGCCCCCTTTCCCCTTCTCTCCTCCTTTGCCACTCCCGCTTCCAGCCCTGCCACCACCACCAAAACATTCAACACATGCACACATGTATGTGCACACTCACTAGCTCTAGTTCAAGTTAGGGATTCTCTCTGGATGAGAGAATCTTCTGCAAGGAAGACATTGCTTACTTGGCTGAAGAAACTGCCTTTTACTCCCCTCCATTCCTTTTTTCTCCCACATCCTTCTTGCTCTCTACTCATCCTGCCCCCAAGGTGGATTCTCAGCCACAGCTGGGATGAGTGGCCTGTGCTGGTCACAAGCAAACTTGGGCAAGGCTTTCATGTTGTCACTTCCAGTTCCCTGCAGCTTCAATACATAGCAAGGGCCACCAAGAAAGGCCTTGAGGACCACAAGTGGCTTGTGTGCCGCGTGTTGGACAACCCTTCTTTAGGAACACATATATTGGAAATGACTTTACAGTGGAAGGAGATAAAAAACCTTACCTTTCCAAAGAATTGTAGATGATGTAGGGATGCAGGTGGCGCTGTGGGTTAAACCACAGAGCCTAGGACTTGCTGATCAGAAGGTCGGCGGTTCGAATCCCCACAACGGGGTGAGCTCCCGTTCCCCGGTCCCAGCTCCTGCCAACCTAGCAGTTCGAAAGCACATCAAAGTGCAAGTAGATAAATAGGTACCGCTCTGGCAGGAAGGTAAACGACGTTCCCGTGCGCTGCTCTGGTTCGCCAGAAGTGGCTTAGTCGTGCTGGCCACATGACCCGGAAGCTGTCTGCGGACAAACGCCGGTTCCCTCGGCCTATAGAGCGAGATGAGCGCCGCAACCCCAGAGTCGGTCACAACTGGACCTAATGGTCAGGGGTCCCTTTACCTTTACCTAATTACTCCTAAGTTAGCCTCTTTTGCAAAATAAAAATGTGCATAGTGTTATGATATAGAAGCAATGCGGCCGCGAGCTGGTAGCTTGAAAGCAAAACATAATGGGAATGTTGGGACTGTTCCGTGGGAAACAGAGGGACAGTCAATTCACAGTGCAGAGGGCACCGGAATTAGCTCAGAGTGTAATATGAGCTGTACAGGAAGTACAGGAGGAGTTTGTCTCTCGACTGCTGAAGCTTGAAGAGAGCAGTCATGATTTTTGTAACGCTGCAAAGACAGAAATAAAGGAATGTAAATACGTTTCTGTCTATCTCTCTCCCCTGCCCGGGGGGGCAGGAAAGAGGGGGTGTGTTCTTCTCACTCTGAGAAGGATTGCCTATCGCGACCTAGCCTGGATCCTGCCGGGAATGCAGACAGGGAGGTCAACAGGAGATCAAGCCGGGTGCCTGGAGAGTGGCCAGTTTCTCCTGATGAAGGCTTGAATCCCAACACATAGGTGCATGCAAATTTCTCTTTTATCTCTGCTTAGCCTTGAGACTGCAACAAGTAGCTTTGGGCAAAGTCGCTGTCTCTGAGGTTACCTTATCAGCACACAAAGTTTTTTTTTTTTAAAAAAAAGATAGGCTGAAGAGCTTATAGTTTACTTTGTCTGTGTGCTGAAAACTTTTGTGTCCTTACTAGTCTCTACTACGCATATCTCCTAGAAATCTGTCAACAGAGTTGCTTCTGTGATTGCAACAATACCTTGATCTAGTGAAAATTATTCTAGAGATACAACTATTAGGCATGGGTGGAGCCAGGACTTTTGTTAGGTGGGCAGAACGGATGTGATTGGTCAGTTAAGTATTTCTATTGTTTCACTTGATGGGGGGGGAGCTGCCCCCTACCCCCCTTGGCTACGCCTATGTTGTTAGGGGAAATTCTATAGAGAGCACATAAAATAACCTTCTTCCTCTTTCCTCCAAATGTGTCTCATTTTTTCCATAATGCTCTCCCCCCATCCTCTCCCTTATATAATACGGCAAGAATGAATAGTATTGTGATTGCAGACATTTTCCAGTTGTCTTACGTGTGTGTGTTTTTCTTTTGCAGCTGCTTCATCTTCAGACAAATAAATGTCTTGTTGCCCAAGGCCACCCAAGTCAAAAAGGAGGACTTGTTGTGGTCAGAGAGTGTGATTACAATGATCAAAATCAGGTAAGTGCCTGAAGACAGAACTTACCGTATTTTTTGCTCTATAAGACGCACCAGACCATAAGATGCACCTAGTTTTTGGAGGAGGAAAACAAGAAAAAAAATATTCTGAATCTCAGAAGCCAGAACAGCAAGAGGGATTGCTGCACAGTGAAAGCAGTGATCCCTCTTCCTGTTCTGGCTTCTGGGATAGCTGCGCAGCCTGCATTCGCTCCATAAGACACACACACATTTCCCCTTACTTTTTAGGAGGGAAAAAGTGAGGCTTATAGAGCAAAAAATACGGTACTTTCTACTTGCGTTTCTTTCCCTAGCATTGTTCATTTTTATAGTCTCCACAGTCTTGCTTTATTTTGATCACTCCTTCATAACATTAAAAACAAACCACACCCAAATTCCTTCCTCTATAGGCACGAAAAGGGTCTCTCACTTGATATCTTCTCACTGTATGCTCTGGTCATCTATAACTTTTGACACTTACGTCACATAAATCTTTCTGTTTGATTCAATTTCCTTTCTGTTATTTCAGGACTGATCACTCAGATAAATACATTATCAGTATCCATTAGCTACTTTTACAAATTTTTGCCACTGTTGTCTGCTTCAAAATCACTTACTAAAAGGAGGCTTTGTGGATTCCTTAAGTACCTCACTACACTAGGTGATACATTCAGAATTCTGCTCAGTGCTTGAGGTCCATTCCAGGAACTTTCCAGGGCACCAAGAACAGATCTGCTTCAAAATGTGCCTTATGCCCTGGAAATAAGTTCAATAGAGTTACTGGCCCATATGAATGTGGATTTAAAATACCCAGAGAAATTATATCTGATCCAAAAATGCACAGCTGTTAGAGGGTTTCAGAATTAAAGCAAACAACATCTGGCATCCTCCCTACTTTTAGGTAATTTTAGAGAAGCCAAAAAAAAGGGGGGGGAGAAAACTGGGAGTTTTTCATTGCTAGCACCTCTCCACATGTTCAGATTGGTCTAATATATTTCCTTTTTAAAGCTCAGCTCATACTTGTTCACAGAAAATAAGTATCTGCGGTAGTTTTTTCTGCTTAAGGTAAACAGATTTTTTTTCACTCAATGCTTAATTTGAAAATGTTAAGAAGGGAATCTTACTTAAATGCAATTAGTAGGAAATTAATCTGCTTCAAAATACTTTAGAAAGCTGAGATTTTATACTGTGGCATATTTTATAAAGTGATTTGTGGTTGTTTTTGTGTTACTATTTTACTTCTTGTATTTTTGTACAATACTTAGAGGTTTAGAAATGCTTTTAAATAAATAAATACATAATTTCACTATTAGGTATGGCTTTACAATGAAGATCATGAGCTGATCCTAAACAATCTCCTATGCTTGGATGTGTCTGAATCTCGCACTTCTGATCCACCACGCCTTATGAAATGCCATGGATCAGGAGGATCTCAGCAATGGGTGCTTGGGGTGAGTTGTGGACAAGAGTGGATGATTTCAGATCTCTTTCTGTGTGTGTCTTTGTGTGGGTAGGTATGTGATTTTCTAATTCTAAAAATCACATATGGGTTAACAATTCCACACTAATGTTTTTCAGTACAGGTTTCCTATTAAATGATGTGTGTGCTCATCTAAATTATGTGGAGATCAGGGGAGGAGTGAACTATCATGTAAATGGGCCATTGTTGGAATAAAAATCCAAATACCTCCTTTTGAGGTTGCATGGAATAACCTGACAACCTTAACAATGGAAGACATTTATCTCCTGGGGAGTAGCCATGCTGGAAACATTTAATCCAGAGCCCAATTTGCAAAAACCTGGCCATATATGGATTGACTGTAGATCTAATCAGGTATTCAGAACCACACAAAGGTTTTGCAAGAGGGAGGAGAATGGTGCCCTGCAATCTCAGCACCAGCCCCTCAATACTCTCTACATACTGGAGGGCATGTCTGCAGGAGAGCTGTGCAATAAATTGCCATATTGTTGAATATCGGTACTGTATTGAAATAACATTGTGATAAGTGTTTCCACAAGGCAATATGCCGCTAAGCAAAAAATGGAGACTTAACAGCCTCCCAGGGGGTAGCTCAGCTGAAGGACACTTTGCATTGCAGGCATGGTGTCTCCAGCTTTGCTTGCTCTCTCCCTCCTCCCTCCTAACCAATAAGAAATGACGCCAGGGTAGCGCATTGCATTTTGAAAATGTGCCTCTTTACTACCATGTCTGGTTATTTTGAAATGAAAGTCTGTTCTGCAGTCCAAATCATCTAGAGGGTACTAGGCTGGAGAAGGCTGACCTATAGCAATATCCCATGAGATGAGCTCTCCGGGATTAGCTTCATGGAAGCAATAATCTCACTGTTTTTGTCTACAGTGATAAGATATTGTAATGTTTGCAGAGTTCCCCAGCTTTGCAATACAGTGGTACCTCGGGTTAAGTATTTAATTCGTTCCGGAGGTCCGTTCTTAACCTGAAACTGTTCTTGAATTGAAGCACCACTTTAGCTAATGGGGCCTCCTGCTGTCGCTGCGCTGCCGGAGCACGATTTCTGTTCTTATCCTGAAGCAAAGTTCTTAACCCGAGGTAGTATTTCTGGGTTAGCAGAGTCTGTAACCTGAAACGTATGTAACCTGAAGCGTATGTAACCCGAGGTACCACTGTATATAGATTTGGCTAAGAAAAGTGATCCAAACAGATCACTGCAGCATCAAGCTTCAAACATTAGTTCCTGAATAGTTATTCAGAGTTCCTGTCCTCTAGATGAGTGGTGACTGAATCAGGGCAACATTTAACTGCCCTAGTAAGGTCAGCTCTTCTCACCCCAGCAAAGACAATATTCTCATTCAGAAGCAGGTTTTGAGCTGTTTTGCCTCAACTGTTGCGTTTTGTTTTTCTGTCTCCAGAAACATAATCGACTCTATCAGGTGTCCGTTGGGCAATGCATGAAGGTAGCTGATCCGCTTAGCCTCAAAGGATATGTGACCATGGCAATTTGTGACGGCTCCCTCCCTCAGCAGTGGCGCTTTGAAAGCTGAGTGACAGTGAAGGCCCATTTCCACAGTAGCCTATAGTTGACCTTATAGAGCCTGCAGTCCCTGCTGCTATTTCTGAAACGGAACAGTTTGGGAAGCTTTTAGAAGCAAGCGGAATAGGAGCTGTGGCAGCCATGTTTCAATCTCTACACACATAGAAGTGCAATTCATGTAAGTTTTTTGCACTTCCCTGGCAAATGTAGATACTCTAAATAGTTAGACCATTGTATTTAATTAGGAAAGAAAATTAATATTGAATATTTCCAATAGTCAGATGACTACCTTGTCTCGCCTGTACTTCTTGCACAAGTATTACTGTACTATTATTTTCTTTGATTGGATGATGAATTATTTTAACTGATCTGGAAAAAGAATATTCATTTTTAAACAAATCTCTGTATTTAATTTTAATTCATTAATTTTAACATGTTACATTGTTAACATTTTATGTCACAGCATTTAAAATAAGTCATTACAGATTTTGATGACTCTGGGCAGCATCCAGAATCATGAAGTGGAAATAGGTTTATACAGTGGGTCTCATGTCTTCTCCCTGCTGCCCCCCTGTATCCCAAAAGCCTCCCCTGACGATCTGGGAATCCTTAGGGAGGTATGGGAATGGGGGCTGCAGCAGTCGGGAACAATTACTGGAATTCAGGTAGGGGCTGACTTGCAATAGCAAATTGGCATTTTAAGAGCAAGTATGGTACTTTTTCTGTTATAATCAGTTTCTGAGTGAAGAGGTCAACAGAAATGATTATGGTGCAAGATGTATGTATCTCAATACACTTGTGTGGACTTTTTAATTTCTTCCTCTGGATTGAAAGCATTAATTGCTGATTTTTCCTTTATTGGTTCATTCAGCACTGGTTTAAAATGCAGTTGCATAATAAACTTGTGAAAATACTTCAGGGTTAACAATGTTTGAAACATTTTCTTTCTTTGAAATCGAGCAATATGCTTAGGACCTTGTCCAAAGGGGTTGGGGTGGGGGAGATCTGTACCTTATAAGAATTTATTAAGTTTTAATTTGCCACAGAGTTAATTTTTACTGATTTGTGGACTGTATGCTGCTCAACATACAAATGGAATACCAGCTAGTGTGTGCCACCTGTCTTATTTTAACAGGTTGTCTAGTTAGGCCTGCATCCCCAGCACATAACACAGCACACTATGAACACTGCACTTTCATTTCAGTGAAGCTAGCAGCTCTCATTAAGTATATAATCCAACAAAACAATGGCTATCATCTGTACTGTGTTCATACAGAAAGAAAGCTGTGGGTGGAAATTACAGGGCCAATTCAAGGAATTTGAATCTGTCCTAATATTTACTGTACCTTATTTTCAAAGAATTGAGCAGATTATATCCAGATGTGGAACGCTATGGTATCCAGAATAGAAAATTGGGTGGAGTTCTTGTGGGCAGTGATTTTACTCTGCAGATCATTCAAAAGCCATATACTATAAATAGTCTGGGAAGCATTCAGATTATATGAATTGCACTGTGGCTTTCTTCCAACTTTATCTGCTCGAGGCTATGTGCCTCTCAGCAATTAAATCATTGCTTTTGGTTTGGAGTAAAGGTGATGGATTTACTTTGAATGGCAGTGCAGTGCTGTACCAAATCTTGAGGCTCCTAAGTAAACCATCTAGGAACATTCTGGTAAAATAAGAAACATTTCCAAATGAAAATATAGAGGTAATATTTATAGATGTAAAATATTTTATTTGTAAATGCTGATCTTCTAAATCTGTTTCCACAAATTTCAAAGCCCATAACACTCTGTATACTTCAAAAATTCATTTTTTGCCAACATTAGATAACTATTATACAGAACAGAAAAAACCTGTAGGACAAATACTGGTAGGATGTTGGAATATTGTACAAGAGAAGAAAAATATTCGAGAAGCAAATTTCATACAGCTATTTATCAAGAGAAAAATATATACAATTGATTTATTCTGTAAGATAAAAATACATCATGCCATATACATTACAAGTTCAGAACTGTAGCACTGAATATATCAACAGTTTTACAGTCCACTTTCGCTGTGCACACAAAAAACTTCATTTTTTTAATATTTAGACTGTGAAGTGTCAGTACCAGAATTTAAAGTACAAAATAAAAAAACTAACCTGCTTCAAAATGTTGATTAGGTTTCTACAAGCAAACACAAACAGTGTTTTATTTTTTTTAAAGAAATGTAAACAAAACAATCCATACAAACACATTTTTTAAATTACATTTTCCAAAACCCTATTGCCAGAGTCCTGCAGCTGAAAGCACAATTACACCTAATTTTTTCTTTGTTTTTACTTTTAAAGAAGGCAGCTATTGTATTAGACTTACGCTCTCACTACACATTTCTATTTTCATTACATGATTTAGTGTAAGCTGAACAGTTCATGTAATCCCCACTACTTTTTTCTGGAAAAGAAAATCAATGTTCAGCTTCTATTTTGGGTGGTTTTAGCAGTTATTCACAGTTATCACAAATTCTAAGCACAAAAAACCTGATTTAAGAAATAGGGATGTAACAATATAATACAAATAAAATAAATCAGTCTAAATTTCCTCAGACATCTACAAAAGTCATAGTTGTAATATACATGCTCTCTACCAGTCTTAACGGTTACTTAAAAAAGTTATTAATAGAGCACAGTTGAGCCTGCTTTAAAGATTAAAAAAATAAAGTAAAACCTCTCTTTAAATTGAGATTTTGGTTATTCCATAACAATTGTAATGGCATTTTTAATACATGAGATCATATTGTAACATCCCTATCAAAGTTTTATAATAAGCACCCGAACTGCTGCAAAGTCTGGTAGCATTTGGTCAATTACTATTTTTTTATACTGTACTTTATTCCTCAAAATATTTACACTTTTGTACAAAGTAACAGGGTTTGTTAGTTCTGCAGGTAACAGCAGCAGCTTGGCTTCTAACTTTTCCTTTTAAAAATAGCTTCATTCACTTATTTCAATAATAAATACAAAAAGTTTCTCTTATTTTACAGAAATCAAAAACTACAATAAACTGACTCATGGAATCAAGTATTTTAAATGTATTTTAGTGCAAGTTATTTCCCTTAGCTCTATCCCTAAGGAAGTCATTTCAGTACATTCCTTGTTCAGTGGTGTCTACTTTTATTTATTTATTTTTCTGTATTTAGAGGGCCTGCCCCTTTAATAAGTAAGGCTGTGGCCAGCACTTTGGACGTCTCCCTTTCGCTGGTGATTTCAGTCTACATTCATTGATGCCCCACTGCCCTTTTGCAGTTCAGCCATAGCTTCTCTGCCCAAGTTCAACGATTTCTCCTTATGAGTTCATAAAATCAAAAGTGCTGGACTGGTTTGGAGATCAGTTTCACCTCTGTGTGCCTTGGACATCAGGCAACAACTCCATATTCTGCCAGCTTGCTTCACACTGGTGTAGAATACAACTTTCAGAAGTGATTGCTTTCACACCCACCCACACCCACCCCATAAAAATAAAAAAAAATCAAAATCACTTCTTCCTTGGGACAAGCAACCCCTGGAGACAGCAAGGAATGCATCTAGTTCATCCATTTTCGGCAGTTTACAGCTCCACAGTGACATGGAATCTTGTGCTGGTCATCTTCAAAATCAAACTTATAGTCATAACAGAGCTGAAAGAAAGGGACTGCCAGTTAGGTTTGGTGTTTGCAAAATCAAGAACAACTACTCACCTCATATATACATGGACGCGTTCTCAATTTCATATGTTGTTGGATTTTAAGTTGCTAACATTGATTATGGATGGAAGAAGCAGCTTCTTGCAAGGTGAACTATGCCTAGGGTGCTAAAGTTCAGCCTCGTTGAATCAATATAGTGGCAAATGCCATATTCATCTGTAATGTGATAATGGGCTGAGTAGCCGCCCAGAATGGCTGGGGCAACCATTTCAGATGGGTGGGGTATAAATAATAAATTATTCTTCTTATATTATTAATATCCTGAAATGGTGTTGCAGATTAAGGGTTGGTTTAGGAGATACCCCATTTCGGTAACCAGTCTAACCAGCTCATTGTGGCTGTTTTTATTTGCCAGAGTTCTTGCTACTGAAAATATAGTGCAGAATCAAATGTGCTGATTGAGGTGCAAGAATGTTCCCCGAGGTGTTTGGAAGCATACACCTGAAAAGCCTTTATCTGTTGCTATCAAAGTAATTTTCCACATTGGGGGCAAATACATCTCCACATGAAACAGTCTGCACACTGCCCAAGAACTCTACAACACTGCTGTGTGCATTTGAATGGGCTCCAAAACAGTTACACCAGAATGAAATATTTTTTTAAGTAGTAGTTTTCCAATATCCTATTTAGTGTGACGTTTCAGCATACAAAGCAATGTTTTACATTCTGCACACTTCTATATGCGTACTTGCAGAAGTAAGTCCTGTTGAGTTCAATGAAAGTTACTCCCAGGTATGTGGGTAGAGGAAAGTGGTAAATGTTAAACAGCTTTACAGTATAAACAAACTTTAACAAGGCATTCTTCAGAATGGCTTCTAATAGATTGCCTAAAATGCTAAGCAGTGCATGGGAAAAAATACAAGGGGGTGAGACTGTCCAGTTGACGAGTCAACAGAAAATAAATAAATCATGGTACTTAAAAAAGAAGCAAGTGCTGAAACATTTTTGTAACTAGGAATTTTAGAAAGAAGAAATTGAGCATATTCTACAAATAAAGGTTTAAGCTACTAGAAGCTATGCAAATCCTACCTCTTCTCCCTTCTGGATTCTCCTGCTAGAGCTAATGATGATCTTATGTCCCCTTTCAAAGGTTACCACCTCAGCCACACAGTTTGGTGCACAGGAATGGTTAATATACCTACAAGGGGTGGGGGGTGGGGAAAACAGGAGAAATCCAGGCACATGTTTTAAAGTGTTGAGGAAGCAAACTGATTGTACTGTAAAATAGATATACAACCTCTGACCTTTGCCCAGGAAAAAACAAAAGTTCAAAAAGTACTGTAT